TCACAAACCATTCTGTTAGCATCAACAGCCCAGAATGTGATTTCTTATCAACACCCAAGCCATCATCCTCAGTCATCAGGTTTCCTAACTTCCTGCCCAGCCCTGTATCACTGGACATCCCCAACCTTAGATGTTCATGGCTTGGTGAGCTTCCTCTGGGAATAATTGGTGGTCTCTGAGCAGCGCTTTTAAACTTGAATGAGAAAACTGGGTGAGAAGTTTTCATGGTACAGTGAGCTTCTCCTTGCAGTCCCTCCTGAAACAGGGCTGGAGTGACAGAGACAGGTTTGGGGACCTGGGTTGAAACGAAGCAACTTACCTGGCTGGTGATATCTAGGCACCAGAGCTCTGTTGCTCAGAGAGCCCCACAGGTATTAGGGGGAAGGTCTGCAGTCTTGACCATTGCTTCTCCTTTTATGCTTTCTTTCCTCTCAAGACTGGACAGTTCAGTGGCCTGAGGGTAAGGGAGGTCAAAGGCTACCAGGGAGAAGAGCAGGGCTGGGACTGTGGCCCCGCCAAGCCTGAGGCAGCCAGACTCTGTGGCTCATGCTTGTAATCCAGCAGGCAGGAGGCAGAGATTAGGAGGATTATGGTTTGAAGTTAGTTTGGAATAAAAGTTATCAAGACTCCATTTCAATAAGCTGGGCGTAGTGGTGCATGTCTGCAACCCCAACTGTAGGGTGCATATTTGTAACCCCAATGGGATTACAAATGGCCCAAGGCTGGCCCTGGACAAAAATGCAAGATTCTACCTAAAAAATAACTAAGGCAATGAAGGGCTGGAATTGTGGCTCAAGTGGTAGAGTGCCTGCCTAGCAAATGTGAGGACCTGAGTTCAAACCCCAGTACCATCAAAAAAAAAAAAAAAAAAAGGGAAACAACAACAAAACAATCCCAAGGCCAAACTGATGTGTCTGCCATGTGGGAGGGTGGAAGTAGGGTGAGTGCTGGCTTGAGGGTGAGATGGGAGCATGATGAAATTTACTTCAGGGCCTGATTTCTGCTACTCCAGCAGAACAGTGACAGCAGAGTGGTGGCCTAACTGCTCCCTGGGCTGAGGGTGAAACTGTGCTCCTATGGGCACTAGGAAAGGTCTGGGCATGGGACTGGCCAGGCCAGGCTGCTCACTGCCCTTCCAACTGTGATCATGGCCGCCATGACCTGAGGTGGGGAAAGGCTTCTTTCACGTACTCTTGTGTGCACACAAACGCATTCTTACTTCATCCCTAAGTTTCCTTTCCATGCAGGATCCTACTTCCTGGCTCTCCAGTTCCCAGTCTGTTTTGCCATCTCTGCCCAACTCCCTATTCTTTCCCTCCCTCCCCCAACAACACAGGGCTGGCTGTGTGCCACTATTGAGTTTTCTCGGGCTTTTGAGAACTGGTGATCGGTCCTGAATTACATAGGTGGGGAAATCACAGGCTGGGAAGTGAGGGGGCCGGATGGGGAGCAGATGCCTTGTTGTTTCCCAATGAGTCTCACCGTCGTGAGTCTCACTGTTGTGGGCAGAACCACTTCAACCTCAGAGGCAGCAGCTACTATGCTTCAATTCTATCCCCCGCCCAACACACACACTTGTTTTTTGTGGTACTGGGGTTTGAACTCAGGGCCAGGTGCTTGCTAGGTCAAGAGCTCTACCATTTGAGCATAGCCCCAGCTCTTGTTGCTTTAGTTTGTTTTTCAGATAGGGTCTCATGCTTTGCTCAGGCCAGACTTGAGCCGTAATTCTACTTCTGCCTCCAGAGTAGATGGGATTACCATGCCTGGTGCTCATCCTCTTTCCCCAAAAAACAAATCCTCCCTGGATGTGAACTCTGAGAGAATAGGGGCTCAGTGCAATAAATAAGTGATGGCTTCATTAATCATAAACAGGGAGGAGGGGAAGCAGGTACATTTTGGTGTTGAAAATAGACATTCTGAGTGTTGATTTAAATGCATGCCCTCCTTTTTTTTGTTGTTGTTTTTCTTTGCTTCACTGGGGTTTGAAGTCAGGTCCTCACTCTTTCTAGGCAGGCACTCTTAACCTCTTGAGTCACCCTGCCAGCCCTTTTTATTGTGATGGGGTTTTTTTGAGATAGGACTCACAAACTATTTGCCCAGGGCTGGCCTTGAACCGAGAGCCTCCTGATCTCTGCCTTCTGAGTAGCGAGGATTACAGGCATGAGCCACTGGCGCCTGACAACATTCACTCTTAAATCCATGGCCTGCTGCCCCCTCTCTGAGTGAAAAATGGAGGACCCTGTGGGATTTCTATTTCAAATTTCTCATTTATTTGACATTCACTTGGTTGTGACTCCAAGTTATCAAAGATGCAAGACAAGAAATCCACAGCAGGAGTGATGAAGTGAGGCCGAGAAAGATGGCAGAGAGGACTGGGCATGCCCAGCCCCTCCTTCTTCTCTTCCTGTTTAGGGTTCAGTTTGAAGAGTGTACAAATAAGTGTCCCATAGTACAGACTCCACAGCTGAAAGGACAGTGCCATTGAGTGACATGCGGTTCCTCTTCTACAGGGTGGAGCCCTTGTAGCTGCAGTGAGGCAGGCAGGCAGGCCATCTTTAGCCTGGGTTGGAGCCTGTGCCCTGAGCAATGTGGGCTGTGTGGGGGGAAGGACATGACTCATTTTCTCTCTAACACTCTGGGCCCAGATTTTGATTTGTGGGTTAACAGCGTTTAGACTGGGAAAGCTACAGGTGACACAATGGCAAAGGGTGCTTTGTGTTCAGGGCTCCCAGTAGATCAGGGTCAAGAAGTAGGTGGTAGCTAACGGGGTTGTCCTGGGTTTTCCAAAGGCAGGAGATATGATGATGGTGTTCTTTGGGGTGAGAAAGGTCACGGATGTGAGGTTGGTCAGCTCTGGAATTGCAAGGGAGCAAGGCACTGGGCTAGTCATCAAAAAGTGGAGAGGGCTGCCAGGCCTGGCAGCTCACCAACGGGTTGCATATGGCCCAGGCAGGGCTGATGGTGGGATGGGATGTGTTAAAGCTGCTGTCTGAGCTGCCCCTCTGCACTGAGAGACAGATCTCATTATCCCTCCTGGTGAGGCTTCCTGAGGCAAGAGCAGTGCTTCCATTTGAGATTGCTTAATAGAGTGGGAGAGGTCAGACAACCATGTTTGTTTTATACTAACAATTAAAGTAGTTTTGCCTTCTAATCTTGTGGGATTTGTTTGTTTATTTGTGGTCTTTCATCCCTCAGCAAGCATCCTTGCACTTAGGATCAGACAGCTGGCCAGCATATCAGTCCCGGGCAGTCTGAGGGCAAGGGGTATGGCTTGGCTGGCAGATCTTTTTAGGAAATTCTAGGTTCATGGAGTACTAAAGGGCTATCTTGTTTCCCTGGAGAAAATGGAGTCTCAGAGAAGATGAGTGATGGGTCCTGGAGCTAATAGGTAACCAAAATGTGGCCAGAGCTTGTCTTTTGCTTTTCAACTCAGTTTGTGCTACTTCCAAACTAAGAGTTGAGCTGCTGAAATGGAGTGCTGCCAAAGGGATGCATCTTCCTTCCCTGCCCACTCCCACAGATGCACAAATCCCTGTGTCAGATGCAAAATCCAGATTCAACTGAGGCCAGCTGGTTCCCTACCCCACCCTCTGCAGCACTCAGTGACTCAGGAGTGGGTGGGGGTTAGCTATGCCCTTAGAAGGGGGTGAGCCACCTTTTACTGCAGAAGCAACTGGAAAACTCAAAAAACATAAATAAGGCCACTGCTGGGTTATATACAGGAAGTGGGACTTGAACTTGGGGCTAGAGTGAGACAGCAATGAGTGGCCCATCTCCATGACAGTAGGGAGTGGGGTGGCCGAGGAAGGACAATAAGCATAAAACACATTTACTAAGACACATCCAGTCCTCAGGAGCCCTCTGATGCTCAGGGATAAGTGAGTCCTGGGAGGATGCTCACATGGAGTGGGGGTGGAGCAGCTTTAGCATCCTTGCCCCATAGGGACTCCAGGCCCCTCCTGTACCAGCTGGCTGGTTGCCACGGGGACTGGTCACCTAAATCACCTTTGATCAGCTGCCTGGGTGGGGTGTGTGCCAGATTTTTCTTTCTAGTTGGTGTCCCCGGAACCTTTCCAGCTCCTGAACATGACAAAGCCCCTAGGGCTGCTGGTGGCGACTGGTGTGCATGAGTGTGCATGCTGGGAACGTGAGTGCACACACTCTCACAGGACTGCATCTACACCTGTGGCTCGGCATGGTGGACCAGGGTCTGAGACAATCAGACCTGTCATCCAAGTGTCTAGAATTCTAGTAACAAAACTAGAAAATGCTTCTCCAGCAGGGGGCAGCTGGTTCCTAAGGCAGAGAAAGGATCTGGGGGGAGACAAAGTTAGATGGTTGCTTCTTGGTGCAGTCCCCACAAATAACCATATGTCATGGCCTTTAAAGTCGACTTGAAGTGTTCCATAAGGAGGGGATAGATACAGACATGGTATGTCCAGTAATCAAGATCCCGATCAGAGCAACTACGATGACCACACTATCTGTGATAACCAAAGCACACAACTAGATTACAAAATAGCTCTCAGATGTGTTCTAGCAGGCAAGTCCTTCTCTTCCTCTCTCTTCTCCAACTTCTGCAATCACTAGTCCTCACTTCTCTCCTTGCCCTCCGTCTCCCTTTCTTCTAGGCATGACCACTTCATCTCATGAGGACTGGAAGCCTCCAGAGCCTTTGCTTAGCTTTTCCTGGTGCTCCTTTGCACAGCCCAGGAAAGCCAGGGGTTTGGGGTTACTGGAGGCAGTTGTGGTGGCACTGGGGTTGTCAGCAGCAGGAAGTCCCTACAGAGAAACTGGCAAAGCTGCAATCTCAACCACTGGGTTGGGCCTGGTTGTCAATACACTTAAAAGTTTGGGCCCTGGTGAGCCTTTTGCTATGGAGCAAGAAAAGCCAGAGAAACTGAGATAGTCCTTGTGGGGTGGTTGGAGGGTTGTTCACTGTCCCATTACTTCTGCTGGGGCAGCAGTGTTGATGTATGTGTGAGTTGGGGTGAAAGGGGTTACACATCTGTACTAATAGCCCTTGGATTGGTGAAGGCTTCACGCCCAGAGCCTGGCCAGGTCACCGGGTAACTCTGGGGCGTTGCCAGTTTGAGGGGTGGGGGTCCTCCCTCTTTGTAGTATGTGGTAGCAAAGGAGAGCCTCTCACCTCCACCCCCATTGGGCACCATGTCGGCTGTCCGTATGTAAAAGGGGGAGCGGTATGGGGAGCAAGTGGTGCAGTGGTTCGCAGCCACCCCACATGGCTGGCAGGGCTCGCCAGTGAGAGGTGCCAGGCTGCCTCTGCCATCCAGGGCTTGGGAACTACAGGCATTGCAGGTGGAGCCTCTGGGATGGGTGGGGAGGTCGTGCCCTTCCTCTTCCTCTTCATCTGCATCCTCCGTTGTGCCCTTCTTGCAGCAGTAATACTAGGGGGAAGAGAAAGAAGGTCTGAGAGGTCATTTATGCTCCCTTGCTCCCAGCCCCAGTGCACTTTTGAGTGTGCACAGGCACCCATGCCTCCTGTATCACTAAGTACCTTGTGCTGGGCACTTTGTTGGTGCTGGGGATAAAACAGAACACCAGAGATCCACATCCCACATTATGCATTCCCAGCTTTGCAAAGCCAATACTTCCCCTCTTCTTTCCCCTTGTTTCTCAGTGTACTACCTAGGCCATGGTTGGGGGTGGGCAGGGAGGCAGGGATGAAGGGACATACACAGTATGTTGACTACAGGGTTAGGAGCTGCTGGTAGCAGCTTTCAGAGTCCCCCAGAATGGTGGCCTTCCCACCACTCCTAAAACCTAAGAGGTGAATACAATGACTTGTCTCCTTCTGGGTGCCCTGAATGGTGCAAGGTATGAGGGGCACAATGCCCTTATGATCACCTCCAATTCCCAGCTTCCCACATTCTGTGGCCTTGGGCTTTGTCCACCTGGAAGCAGGCCTCCAGTTTCTGCACCCAGAATGGAGAAGTGGTTTGCTGGTGGCATAGCCATCTCTGGCTACAGCTCCACATGACTGACCTGGAGCCTACAGTAGCACAGGACAGCGATGATGCAGAGGAGGATCACTGTAGCCAGGATTCCGCCAGTGATCACAACCGTTCCCGCTGTCATCCGCCCGACGCCCCATCAAACTCTGCAAAGACATGTGTGCAGGGGTTAGGAGCAGTTGTTTGGAACTCTCTGCACAATTGGTGGCCAGGGGCCTCAGAGCAGCAGGAACTGGGAGAGTCCCTGCCCCCAGGGGCTTCCTGAAGACTGAGAACCCGCTGTGGCTGGGGCTTGGGTCAGCCTAAGCGGGGTAGGGTTGGGGGTTATGGCTTCCGGGGTTGGAAGGTGGAGGGAGAGAAGACAAGGTGCTAATTCTGCTCCCTGTTTCTGTCCAATGTTCTTGCTGTCTTTCTTCTTTAGTCCTTTTCTCCTCTTCCCCCTCTCTTTATATGCTTCTCCAACACTCCCATCCCCATGGCTCCAAAACAGAAAATGACAGAATAGGGCTGGGGCCAGTGTGCTGTGTTCTCTCATGAGTCCTCACAGTGACCTTTTGGGATAGCTACTATTGATTCTCTTCTCACAGGAGGAGCTGAGGCTTTGATGACCTTGGCTGGGATTCCTTTCAAAGGCCAGGCTGTCTATCACTGCTGTCCTGGTCACAGCGCCAGAGGCATCTGAGCCTTTCACCCTGGCTGGAGAGGACATGACCCTGCATGCAAAAGTTCTGCCTAGTTCGGCCCTGGCTCAAACCCACATTCCTTCAAACTCTCATGGAAAACAAGGGCAAGGTGAGCCCAGAGGGAAGGGGTGGGCAGCATCCGGGTTCCTGGAAGACTGTGGCCAGGCTGGGGAGACTGGTCTTGGCCAGTGGGGCCAAATGAATAGGATAGAGGCAAGCTGTGGGTGCGAGACTGTCCAGGCCTTGGGAAGGTCAGTGGGTGGGGATTTCTGAGCTTCCCAGACATATGGGGGGGCCACACAAACAGGACAGTAGGGATCTGACATTTGGAGGACAGAAGAATGTCTGTGAGCACTTACGTTCAGTAAAGGGAACGGTGACCTGCAAGACAACAAAAGGAACGGAAGTGTTAGGAGAAGAGCGTTGATCACTGGAAAGGCCCCCAGGGTTAGCCTATTCTCTGATCTCCATCCACACATTTCTTGACTTCTCACTTGGCTGCCCCACTGTCATCTCAAACTCAAAAAAGACAGACTAAAGCCATCTCTCTCTGTTCTCCAAACAGGTGTACACCTCTGAGCCCTCTGTCTCTATTTGTGGTTACTCCAGGGCTGCTCTTAGTGCTAGGCAGGATGTTTAATCCTCAGAGGGCAAGTGGGGGGCTGTACCTCAGCTCTGCACCGTGTGTGTTTGCCTGGAGGAAGGGAGGGGTATCTTTTCTTTCACCCAGACACTACCTGCCTACCACTGTGGTCATGGAGGCTTCTATCTGCCAGTGGCATTGTTACTAATTCACTCAGAGATGCTGAAAGCCTCAGTGCTAGTGGGTGGTCTGGGGACCAGGAGTGTGACTCTCCAGGGAATGTTCTGGGAGAGTGATATCTCACCTTTCTCCCCAACCAGGCTGAATAAGAAAGTCTGCATTTTAACCAGGTTTCAGGTGATTCATTTGCACATAGTTTGACCAAGCCATTAGATGTGCCCTTAGTCACTCAAATTCTTCTTTGGTCAGTTCCCCATGCCAATTAAGACTACATCTCAAGCCTGGCTTGTGCAATGGCTTCCTAACTACTTCCTTGGCTTTGGGTCTGAGCACCTTCCTCCCACTGTGGTTTGGCTTCCCATCTTGCCCCCGTGCCTGGCTATGTTGCTCCACCGCCTGCAGGATACATTTATCTGGGCACAAATTTTCACACACCTCTTCAAAGGCTTTGTCTTGTCCCATTTCCGTGTATGCTTACCACCATATCTTTGATCCACTTAGTTTCCCCTCCTGGCCTCCCACTGTTCCACTACAGGGTGCCTCTGCCCCATCCAGCAGTCCTGGTTCTTAGGAAGCTGACAGCTTAGTGACACAAAGACACATAGCAACCTTATGATGCCGTGCAAGACGTATAACTACAGCATAGATGCAGGTACACAGAGAACCTGCTAATTACTACCAGCTAAAATTTCTGAGGTTGCTGTTCTATAGAAGGTGTTAAACCTGAGCTGAATCCTACGAGCTGAGTGAGAGAGGTAGGGGAGGGGAGAATGAAGAGGCCAGGGCCAATGAAGAACATGGGGGTTGGGGGAGTAGGGTCCAGAAACTGTAAGGAATCTGGAAAGGCTGGGATAGACCAGGTATGAAGCTGGAGAGCCTGTAGGCCAGACAAGGAATTGGGATTTAACGGTTTTGGAGGTTATGGGGCTCCTGAGGGGCTTTCAGTAGGGAAGCGCCTACTCTCTCTTTTCCTGTACCTATTCGAATCCTGCCCATCCTGCAAGGCCCCTAGAAGCCTCCCCTGACTGCCCCATCCCTGAATTCTGAATACTACCACGACGCCTTCTTGGTGGGATGCTCCTTGTGAGAATATCTTGCCTCTTCCACTAAATTAAAAGTCCTTTGCATTCAGAGCTTGTGTCTGTCTTGTACTGTTTCCTATAGCAGCAGGCACATAATAAAATTTGGCCTTTGACTGTGCAGTAGTTATGACTCTGACTGACCACAAGGGGGAAGCAAGTTATATCTCTCAGCTTAAGATCCCAGCTGCAAACTGGAGCATCACTGTTCAAGACCCATTTGACTTTGCCCAGATGCATGGCAGAATCAGTGTGTGCTATTTTAAGTTGCTAAGTTTGTTATGCAGTAGGTTCACCTCCCTGAACATTACAAAAACCCTGCAATGCCTGAACTCACACAATAGCAATTCTTTGAGCCAGGACCCAACAGCCAGTGCTGTGGAGTTTCCATCAAATCCACTGCTTCTTGAGTGCCTTCATGAGAAGTGGTGCCTGTGTCCCACCCCAGTCCAAGCAGATCAGGGGCAGAAAGAATCAGGGGTGGCCAACTTAGGAATGAGAGGACAGCTAAAGAGAACAAACTTGCCCACTGAAGAACCTTGAGGGCCTGCCCTCTGTGATCAGGACTTTTTGAAGTTTCCTCGCTCCCCATCTTCCTCCCTCCCCAGAGCCCAAACATCTTCTTCTGGTGGGGAGAGGGGGAGAGAGTTAGCCTGTGCCTTATACTTACGCAAAACAGCTGGAGGAGTGGAGGCTCAATCACGCGGGCTGTGTCTGAGCAAATAGCAGTTGAGGGTGCGTCATGGTCAAGGGCATTGGTCCCTGCCAGAGAAGACAGGGAAGGCTCAATGGCAGCTGGACGTGGGGCTGAGAGAGGATAAACAAGCTGGAGCTGGGGCTGGCACCAGGTTGGGAAAACAGGACTCTAGGCTGGAAGTCTTCAAGAGGCTTGAATCTGAGACTCCCAGCCTAAGAACCTGGAGACAGACTTGTGAGGTCACATCTGATCCCATCCTCTTTTCCTTCCCTTAGAGCCTCTGTTTGGAACAGAAGTCCAGTTCTCTCTTTCAGGTCACTGAGAACTAAGAGCTGTTCTCATGCACAGGTGTCCATGTGCCTGCATGGATCACCCCTCCTTCTTTGGTCTCTTTCCTGTCCCTCTCCCCACCCTTCCCTGGGCCTATTTCTTCCAGTGCTCAGAGCTGCGTAGTACTTCCTTTATTCAATATCCCAACTTCTGTCAGGCCAAGAGTGCCAACTGGATGGTCAGATGAGTTAGAAGGGGGTGAGGAAGGACCCTGCCAAGGCGCTTAGGAAGCCAATGTGGGTGGATTATTGGGCTCCCTTTAAATTCCTTAAATATCTGCTTGACATTATTTAGAAGAGTGTAGGTGCTATATAGGGATTCAACAGGGCAGAGGCAGGATGATCTGTGGTGTGACATTCAGTCTCTGCTCAGTTGTCCTGAGGGGTGTTTGTACTGGGTAGGAACCCAGACATTATGACCACAGAGCTATTTTCAGAAGGAACAGAGCTGTCTGCCTCCAGGTTCTCTGCCTCGGCTGGAAGCTTAGAGGCCAAAGGACAGAAATTAGTGCCTCAAGGACTGGTGTGTGTCTGAGGCCAGCAGCTCTCTGGAGCAGAGGTCTGGAGAAGTTGAGAAGGCCAGTGGTCATCTACAGAGTGGCCCAGATGCCCAGGGGCTGAGCAAAGGACCCTCGGTATACAGATGGTGTACTTCCCTGGGTCAAGGGAGCTGCAGGAAGAGAGGGGCCCAGCAGGAGGGAGGGAAAGAAAAGGGGGAACACAGACAGCATCATCTGGCCCACCTCCCCAGCACTTCTGGTCTGAAGCATATCCCAACTGGATGAAAGAATAACACCATCAGACTGGAGATGTGTTGAGTATTCCTCACGGCTGGCCGGCATTCTGATTGCTGAGTCAACTTAAAATAACTTAAAATAACTATAAGAGTAACTGTGGGGAGGGGATCATGAGAAGCCTATGAAAACTTAACATAAGCACAGTTGTGCTCACTGATCTACAGGATGTTTGGCACAGCCCCAGCTGCAGAAGGGGTGAAGGCAAAATGCAGCTCAGCTGCTTTTCCTAAGTTGTTTACATTCAGAGGAGTAGAGAGCAGGTTTCTGCTACATCATTGCTACATCATTGTTACAATGTCACACCCCTTCCCCCATCTCCTTGTTTACCACTGGATATAAAAGACTCACTGAAGGAGGAAAAGAGGTTTATAGATGGATTGATTGGGGTTTTTGATTGGCTGCCTGTGGGCTGCTTGCCAGGCGGCTGATGCTGCTGTGGCTGGCTGTTGTGTGTCTCCACCAGAGCAGCTTTCTGCACTGAGAACCTTATATATAGGTGTTTAAAAAGCTGAGCAAAAGAAAAGCTAAAGAGAACGTGGGACAGTGCAAGTCTAAGGATGAGACTAAGAGTTATGCTAACGTAGTTTTTAGACATGGCTGCTATCGTGTGTCTGCAAGTCTGAGGACTGGGACTTTAAGAGAGATTAAGAAAAGAGACTTTAAAGAATAGAAAAGAAGACTTTTAGAAGTAAGGTTTTAAAGAATAAGAGAAAAGAAGCAATGAAGGTGTTGTGTGTCTCCATCCAAGTGCCCAGCACACCTGGCCCCAACTTTACACATGTCTGTCTTCTGTCTTTTGTCCTTTCTGCATCACCAGTCACCTCCAGTTAGGTTCATAGGCCAAGAGCTCGTGAGAAAGCTTGTGAGAAGTAACTATCACCTAAGAGTAAGGTAAAAAGCAATGGGCCTGACCCAAGTTTTTTTTTCTAGGGCAGGGGAGGATTTCCCCCATCAAAAATACGTTTTAGAGTAAAGGGACACTCAGGAGAGAGCACAAACCATGCAGCATGCTTATTTAACATAGCAGTTACTTTTAGAAAAATTATTCTTGGAAATGTAGGCATTCTTTTTTTTTAAAGTACACAGTGCAGTGAGTTTTATTTCATTCACAGTTAGAATGTGACATCCAGAACATTTTCACCCTCCCAAAAAGAAACCCCATGCTTTCTCTTCTTCCCTCCCCATCTAGTCACCAGCAATCTTCCTCCTGTGTCCATGGATTTGTCTGTTCTGTGCATTTCATATTAATGGAATCATATCTTATATAATCTATTGTGTTATAATTTTTGAATTCCATTGTATATAAATACCAGATTTTCTTAATCCACTCATCAGTTGTGTGGCATCTTGGCTGTTTCCATCGCTTAGCTATTGTGGATAATGTGGTAACAAACATGGTGTGCAGGTCCTCTTACTGTAACCTGACTTACATTCCTTCAGGTATATTCCTAGGAGTGGAATTGCTGGATCATATAGTAGTTTTATTTTTAGATATTTGAGGAACCGCCATGCTGTTTTCCATAACAGTTGTACTAATTTACACTCCCACCAACAGTGGAGGAGAGTTGTAAGGACTCTTAAGAGATCTGGTCCAATATCTTTTTTTTCTAGATGAAGAATCCAAGTTCAGAGAGGGCAAGTGACTTGCTTAACCACATAGAGAAAGACAGAGGCAGAAATGGAAATGTGGTGGAAGTAGAGCCTCTTAAACCCAGAGTTGCTGTCTCTTCTTCCAGAAGATCTCTGCTTATTTCACTAGAAGCTGAAGTGTCCCTTGAAGTAGGCTTCCTAGAATCGGTTTGATGGTAATAATCATCTGAGCCACCTGTTAAAAAACAGAGACTCCATACCTCCTGGAGCAGCATCTTCAGTGTGGGGCTCAGGAATCTGTTTTGTTAACAGGCTTGCATTTCACCACCTGGCCCTTTTGGGAAATGATGCAAGAACGAAGGTCTCTGGGCGGATTTCAGTGTGGAGGCAGCGGGTGTGTGTGTGTGTGGTGGGTGACCTTGCAGAGCCTGTTGCATCATCTAGTGGCCATGACAAGAGTGGCTCTAGGTTCCATGTTCTTGAGGAAAGTGGGCCAGAAGTCAGGAGGAGAAGAGAAGTCTGAGAAGGGTCAAGGGCAATTAGCCTGGGGGAGGGGCACGGAGCCAATAAAGAGGCCAAGGTGGGGGGAACTCAGAGGTTATTCTTCTAGTAGAGGCTGGGGAAGGGCCTTAAAAGCCAGCCTGAGAGAATGTCTCCACTCCCTATTAGGCTAGGAGCCTCTGGTCTCTCTGAAGGACCCCATACCCTCAGTGACTTTGAACTCATTTTACTGCCTGGTCCAAGGCTGGCAGGAAATGCTGGCCACAGCAGGCACCAGCCTGTGTAATTAACGATCACCACCCCCTGCCCACTGTTTGTCCCCCTTAGGAATACAAGTTAATTGAGTGGGGGGCCTAAGCACCAGCTGATCTCGATTTCTTCCAAAGCAATTAAGTCTTCTCCAATCATTTGCTAACTCATGAAACTGACACAGCAGGTTAGCGCTCCAGAGAAAGGAACTACTCCTTGTTACCTGTTTCCTGGCCTGCAACCCTCAGGGCTCAGAGGGGAGTGAAGGGAAGCACTCTGACTTGCTGTGCTTAAGCCCACTGCCAAGCTCTGAATCCCAGAGGAGGCTCTGAACAGTTGGTGACCACATGGGCCCCTTTGCCCTAGATAAATAGCTACAGCTATACAGAGGCAGCACGGAGGCCTGCACTGTCTGAGAAGAGGTCCCTCTAGGAGATACACGAAGGAAAAAGCCAGGGACTGCAGTCTAGCAATGGGCCATGGGCAGGTGGTTTATAAAAGATGAAGCCCTAATTGGACATTGAGCAAATGATAAAAGCGAGAGCACACAAGGGAGGGGTGAGGATAGGTAAGACACCTCAAAAATTAGCTAGCATTTGTTGCCCTCAACGCAGAGAAACTAAAGCAGATACCTTAAAGCAACTGAGGCCAATAGGAAAAGGGGACCAGGTACTAGAGAAAAGGTTAGATCAAAAAGAATTAATCTAGAAGGTAACACACACATAGAGGAAATTAATATGAGTCAACTCCCTGTATAGTATCTTATCTCAACCAGGAACCCTTGTTCCTTCCTTTTATTGCTTATACTCTCTCTACAACAAAATTAGAAATAAGGGCAAAATAGTTTCTGCTGGGTATTGAGGGGGGGGAGAGGGAGGGGGCGGAGTGGGTGGTAAGGGAGGGGTTGGGGGCAGGGGGGGAGAAATGACCCAAGCCTTGTATGCACATATGAATAATAAAAGAAAAATAAAATAAAAGATGAAGCCCTAAAGGCTACACGAACATGAAGAGGACAGGCAAGATGGAGAGCCCCTGGTGATGTCTCCCCACAGACACCAATTCGAACAAAGATTCTACCACCAAACTACCTTCACGAGAGCTGAGGAAACCGAGTGAACATGGTGCCTGCTTTCACCAAAATAAAATGAAGAGTTATACTGAAGAAGGCAGGAAGGAAAGAGGGGCGTACATCACTGCTCCCCTACTCCAAGTAGCCCAGCATGGAGAGACATGCCTTCCACTTAGAGAAGGGAGAGGGAATGAACTCCAGGTCTTAGACTTGAAATCTAGCACTTGACCCGCCATGGTGAAACTTGGTGCTAGGGCAGAGCCCCGTGAACCCTACCCCCAGGCCAGTAGAACCCACTGGAACTTCCTTGGGCCAGGTGGCTGAGGGCTGCCTTCACTCCTTCTCAAACCTCAGGTGGCAGAGCAAGGAGAAGGACTCTACATTTTGGTAAATAGAGCATAAAAAGTGAACACAGGGCTTTGTGTTAGAGCTCAGGGCCAGACTCACTGTGGTGAGACCCAGTATCTGGTAGAAACAGAAGGCCCCCATATGCAGGCCGGATCTCACAGATGGAGTCTCTATACCAGTCC